ATCCGTTTAAGAACGTATTTTAATTTGGCTTTTTTATTGCTTTGATTACTATATCCTGAATAAATTTTTAAATTCTCATAGTTCCCACCAATGAACATTGAATTATTTTTTTTATTCTCATAATTGCGATCAATGAGCGTCTGCTTTATTTGCTCAAGATCATAATAATGGTTACCGTTAAAAGATTTGTTATCGTTATTTAAGGAGTCAAACACAAATCTAGAACTAGTTTTGTTTTGTTTTTTTAAAGGAACCATTGAAATTACTTCTGGTTGAGATTCATTACTGCTTTCAAATGAAGCTAAATTGTTTTTAAAGGTGATTGAGTAGTTTTCAAACGCAGTAGAATTGTTTTCAAACGCAGTTGAGTTGCTTTTAAACGTGGTTGAATTGCTTTCAAACGCGGTTGAATTGCTTTCAAACGCGGTTGTATTGTTTTCGAACGCGGTTAAATTGTTTTCATACGCGGTAGAATCGTTTTTAAACGCGGTTAAATTGTTTTCAAACGCGCTTGAACTGTTTTCAAACGCGGTTGAGCTGTTTTCTACGATAGCAATGTTTCTAATTGAATAACTTTGATCCATTTCATGATTATCAAATCTTGGGTAATTTATTTTTTCACTTTCTGTTTTCTTTTTCCCTATTTCGCTATTTGTTCTTCGTTCTCCTTTTATTCTATTTTCTTTTATTTTTCTACTTTCGTTTATTTTTATATTTTCATTTACTGTTTTATACCATTGATCATTTTTATTTTCTATAAGTAAAAATTGATTTTTCTCGCTTAAATCTTTATCGTTTATCTCTGATATATTCATTTTCATTTTCAAAAAAGAATCTAATCCATCAAAGTCATCTTTGTTTTTCAAACGAAAATCTGCAGTAAGATTAGTAGTTTCTTTTGTCAAATTTTTTGTTCTCATGGGAATATTTTCTGTTAGTTTTCTGTTGTTTATGGTGTAGTTTTTGTTTGTGATGTTATTTTTGACTGTTTTAATAGGTAAAATTAAATTGATCTTTGATACATCTGGAAGTTCAGTTATGTTTGTTTTTCCTTTTGTTATAGAAAATTTGTTGTTAAACATGTCGTTTTTGTTTTTGTACTTTTCAAATGGAATTTCTAATGCAGTTTTTAAAGGAGCTGATTTTAAAGCTTCTTTTTTTGGTTCGAATGTACTTTGAACTTCATATTGGTCTCCTAAAGGATCACCTATTGAATCACCATAGCTGATTACTCCAGTACTTAAAGACCCATCAGTTTCTCTCGGTGCATCTTCTTGCAAGCTATACTCTAACGTATAGTTTCTTTGATCTCCAAAACCTTTGTTAACATTCTCGTCATCTTTTTCTTCAACTTTAATATTAGGAGCCATACCTTCTAAGTCTGTAATTCTAGTATTATCCAATACCACATCTAGGTTTGCATTCTCAAGTGAGCTATTATTAGGATCATCAATTAAGATCATTTGCTGAGGTTTGAATATTTCTAAAGAAATGTTTTTAAAAAAATTGGGAAATGTCAAACATAATGTAAAACAAAGTAGTTTTACATTTGCAAAATGATAAAATAGGTTTTTTCTAGTGTAGTTTAATTTTAAATAGTTTATTATTAATGTAGTTAGTTTAGAATAGTTTTATATTTTATTATAAAAGTTATAGATGACACTTTCTATGAAGTCTAAAATTTCAAAAATAAAAAATACTGCATGCAACAATACTTAATTGAGTATCATTAGATTTTTTCACAAGCTTGAATTGTCATGAACCAACACAATAAAGTGTATAAGGGTAAAAAAGAGAAAAATAACTCTTGTTTAGCTAGTTGATTTTAGTTTGTTTTTATACATTAAATTACCTAGTGTTAATAGCTTCTTAAAATAAAAATACTCGTTCCCAAAGAAAATGGATATTAAGAATAAATAAATTTCTGAGTTATTCTTTGAATCGCCAATGTCAATGGTAATGTATATGTAAACGACACACAAATACCGATGTAAACGCAATTTAAAAAAATTTGTTAAAGTCTAATAATAAAATTGTTATCTTTGGTATTAGAATACATTATAATCTTACTGTTTATAACAGATTTAAAAAAATTTAATCTAAAAAGATTTTATTTTGCGAATCACGAAAAAAAACAGCTTGTTTTTTCGTAAGCTATTAAAAAACGTTATTTTGTTTTTTTGTTATTTAGGTGCCCCATGAAGTTCTTACGGTCACAGAGCACCACGAAAGTGCATTTAACCAGAAAGTTCACGCTTTCTTTCTTACGGTGAAATATGTCCGAAGCTCGTTTCGAACCTGGATCTCTTGCTTATAAAGCAAACGCTCTAACCACTGCGCCACGGCCAGTGGTTTGATTTGCAAAAAATTGCGACCACTTCATTGACGTTATATAGATCCTAAAAAAGAACTGGTAACCACAATAAAGTAGCGGAGAATTTTTTGTTTTTTATACTTCTTTTTTATTTTTCATTCTTCATTTGATAAAATAATAAATATTTAGTTTGTTTTTTGTGTTTTTCTCATAATGAAACTTTTAACGAGTATGTAAGTATTAAAATATTTTCAGTTTATAACCCAATGCTGACTTAAATATTTCAGAATATTATGTTGATTTATGTAATAAACTAGAATTACAAATAAATATAGTCAAATTAAAAAAAATTGTTTACTATCTTTTATTTCTTCCGTTTTTGTTAAAAATTTAAACAAACTCACCACAAATAATTTTAAAAATGTTCATTACATCTACAATATACAACGGTTATAAGAATTGTGTAACCGTTATATACAGGGGCGGATCTTGCATTTTTTGGTCTTTTGAGATTAAACTCTAACTTCTCCCCCCCTAAAATTGAGGTAGAGTTTAAACTTTATATGGTCATAATTTTTGAATGCTAAAATATTATACTATGAAATTTTAAATTATTGATGAATATAAGTCTAGTTGAGAATAGTACAAAAAATATTTCATCAACTTGTTGCTCTCATGTTTGGGGCAGGGGGCAAAAATTTTGGGTTTTTTTTGTTCCCAGCCTCCAAACAACGCAATTTTTTGCAAATCATACTTATTTGAAATAAGTATAAATATATAAATGTTTGGAGTTTGCTCCATATCTGGAAGTTAACTATCTCAACGACAAAAAAAATGCTGGATCCGCCCCTGGTTATATATGGTACTGTTTTATTGCGTTTGATATAGTGGATTGTTAATTGTTAGTTTATTACATTCAAATTGCCAAACTACGACTCATGTTTAAAGCTATTGTAAATAACTCAAAACTTTACACAAAAACACACTTTAAGATGTTAAGTTTAAAAAATGATGAAATACCGATAAAACTCAATTTACAAAGTTTACATTTAAAAAGATTTTAAATGAAGTTTATTTCATTTTTATTTCATATAAAACAGGTATCTTAATAATTGTGAATTTTTTTGTGCTATAAAGGATGTTTGTGTATGCGTAATACGTTTTACATCAACAGATTTGTCGCATGGTTTACATTAGAGAAGAAGCTTTCTATATGTATTATCCTAGTAGGATAATAGGGCACATAACGAAATTTACGCGTCTAAAAAACGAACTGAAACGTTTTAATACATGTTTTAGACGTTTTAAACACGTCCATTGGGATTCAATAGAACATAAAAAGATAATAACAATAAAAAGATAATAACATTAACGCATTTTGTTTACAAAAATATTTTTTGTTATTTTTAATGTTGTTTTTCTCATTTTTACCATAAATCCTGTTTTTTTGTTTCATTTAAACACACAAAATTAAAACAAAAAAAATTAGCTAACTAAAGAGTTATGTTTCGTAGGAATTTATTGTTTTTCAACAAAAGTATAAGTGGTTTTAAAATCTTTTTCTAAAAAAATCAGGCTAACACTTGTTTAATATTTACCTCAGCGTAGAATAAAACTAGAGTTTTATGATTATAAAAAACTGAAAGATTAAACTCAAGTTATTTATTCGGAGTTTTATAACAATATTATTTTAATAAAACATGCACAAATGATACATCATTTAAAAAAAATGGATATTGGAATATAGAGGAGAAAGGGGAACATGGAATATCATTTACGTTTATAAAAAAAACGTTTCTGGTTTTTGAATAAAAATCACTAAACCATCATGAATACAAAGTATAGTGAATTATTATGAACAGTCAGTTGTGAAAAACACAAGTATTTATTTTTTTGCTGAAAATGGTATGTAATTATTAAATGGTTGGATAACTTAAAATAGGTGATTGAAATCATTGAACTAATTCGATTTTTTTAAATTAGGTGCAAAAACCACATATCTTTTTCTCTATTCCAAAACATTCAAGATAAGCTCACAGATGTCAGCTCAAATATTGGATCCAAATTTCCATTTGCTGATCTATGAAGAATTTTTTATTACAGAAGATTCATTCAGAATTTTTATTATACATTTTTTTAGCTGTTAGCAAGAAGTTGTTACCAATGATTCATAACTACTAACACAAGAGTCATCTTTAATTGGTTTAGATCTAACAGAGAATCTTTGATTGTTTTTTTTTTCTCATTGTTCCAACGTTAAAACTGCAAACAAAGTCAAAATATTGTAATTCATATTTCCCGGCTATTCCATATTTTTCCCTTCTCCTCTACAATTTAGATGAGAAAAAATAATAAAAACGGTAATTTAACGCAATACTTAAATTAAATGTAACTGTACAGACGCGTTAAACGGATAAACAATTATAACTTAACTAACCTTGTCTTTGTTCACCTTTAATAGAAACCCTATCGATCTTTTGTTGATGTCTTTTGTAATCATCAGATAGAGAAACTTTAGAGTTGTTCCGAGATCGTTGGTGTTTTGATGTTGTGTTCACTTTTTTATTTTTATCATAAAAATACAAGTTTTTTTCAATCTGTTTATTTTGAACTTTTTTGCCTGATATGTGTTTTGCTGTATGAGTTATATGGAACTTTTTATTAGGTGCGTTAATTCCATCTTTTTCTGAAAAATAAAAGATTTTGCTTAATTATCAACTCTAATCTTTGTTTCAAGTAAAATTGGATTTAAAAAGGATTTTAATGTTTAAAAGAAAAATACATATAAACAAGTTATCTAAATTAAATAGGACTGATTTGAAATATTAATTTAAAGTATTATGTTTTAATCCTTTTGTAAAAATCAATAAAAAGTTCATTTGTAATTTTTTACTCGTCGTTACAATTTTTTAAGTTTTAAAAGATTTGTGTCATAATTAAATTCTATTGATAAAAAATGGTGCATTTATAATATGAATGAAATAAAAATTACTGTTATTATCTTCTTCAATAATCAAAAAACAAATACAACAAATTTATTTATATTTTGATGAAGAGGTATATACTGGAGGATAAGATGACACAGACGTTGCAGGAAAAACATCAATTGTGTCTGCAACTTTTTTATGCTGTCTTTGAAGCGTTGACTAATGGAGCGTTCAATGTTGCTTGGAAAAGCCCACATGGGGCAACCACTTTGTTTGATAAAAAGTTATTTCGCTCTTTACAATTTCTCATTGTTGGCGTTCTAGTTTATGGTTATGTCCTCTCAGTACATGTTATACTTTTTATTTAAATGTTTTTTGTTAGACGAAGAAGTCAAAAAGTTAGAGTTAATGAATAATTTTAAATTGCTCGATAAAGCTTACTCTTTTGCGGCGTTATTCAAGTGTTGTTAGGTAGTTTTGACATTGCTTTTGTTGCTCGATGTTGGACTTTCTTGAAGATGGAGATTTCGGACTTTAAAAGCAACTCCCAGGCTTGTACAATAAACTCAAGGTGTGGACAAATGTAATTGAGAAACAGTGTGCATCATAACTAAAAACTGCGGCTGCAAAATGTTTGAGATTCTCTGTTGCATTCTATTTGTTATTGATGCAACTGACTCTTTTTGTGGTCTGGTTCTAAGATCATTGGAGACTTTATGAGTGGACAACGTGTGATGTCAAGGTTAGAAATTGAGTATTTGTACGTTTACTTGTTATTTGCAATGTCAACATACATAACTTTACATTTCACAATGCTAAAATGCATTGAAGTGCTAAATACTTGATCTTTCCATTGCTTTGCTGATTTCAGCTTGAAGAGGTGTTTAACTTATTCTTGATTATGCCTTGATTATGTACGACTCATTCTGATTATACCTAGTATTACTGTTGTCTACATAAAGTTTCATTTGATGAGTGATGCTGGCCGGCAGATCTTTTATAAAGATCACGAAGAGTAACGGGACCTACAGAAAGCTTTTAGGCAAACCTCTAGTGACCGCTTTAAATTCAGATATAATGTTGTTGGTGACCATTCTTTGACTTCGGTTGAGTAGTCAAGCTGAGATCAAATCTGAAAACGCCTCTTGAATGCCTTAAGTCTTAACTTGTGAAAAAGTTGATTGTCTGGCACTTTGTCTAACGCCTTGATGACGTATACTGAGTAGCTCCAGTGAACTATTTTTGTTAAAGTTTCAAGTTTCTAGAAGGTTTAAGACGCAGCCCATGCAATAAATTTAACCATGTTGCTTTGGAGTGATTTGCAAAAGCAGCTTTGCAAAAGCAGCTGCGCATTTAGCAATGACGCGTAGATATAAGCCGTCGTTGCTGGTTGGTATCCTCTTATCAAGATTGTTGGGATATTTTTGTAATACATCAATAAAAAAAACTTGAAATTAAAATAATTTGAGAAATTTGTTTGTTTCATGAACTGCATTAATGTACTCTACCTAAGCGGAGTGTTAAGCTTTGAACGCCTCAATAACATATAGTGTTACCGATTGTTTCTGTTTTTAGTAAAATAAATAATAGTGGATGGGCTGTAGATGACAGGATGACAGGAAATTATAATTATTTTTTTATTTACAAATTATCTGTATATGTTTATAAAACAACCATATTTTTTTATTTACAAATTATCTGTATATGTTTATAAAAACAAAGTACTGGTAATGCTAGAAAAATATCATAAGTTTATTAAAGTTAATAATAATCTTTTTGTTGATTTTCTCAATCAAAATGAATTTGCAACCAACTTTATTAAACATTTTATATATGTAGGACCAAACCTAGACAAAAAAGGTCTTAAACGTAAAATTTTAATAAAGAAAATATATTGTATATTTTTTCAATAAAATTGATGATTGATATATATATATATATATATATATATATATATATATATATATATATATATATATATATATATATATATATATATATATATATATATATACATATATATATATATATATATATATATATATATATATATATATATATATATATATATATATATATATATATATATATATATATATATATATATATATATATATATATATATATATATATATATATATATATATATATATATATATATAGAGAGAGAGAGAGAGAGAGAGAGAGAGAGTGAGATAGAGAGAGAAATTTACGCCTCCTTCTTTACCGATATTATTAAACTTGTTAACCTGTTAGGGCTGCTTTAAATTCGTTCCGCAATGTTCTTCGTGACGTTCCTTGGGCCAGTGTCTTTTTTATCTCCACATGTAAATGCACCTCATACATAACCTGCATTAATTAGGCAGGAATGGAAGCTTTTTTTTACTTCTTGCCGGTTTCAAGTCAAGGCTCTACTCCATGGCTTTTCTTGTGCAGCTACTATTTCTAATCGTTAACAATTATTTTAATTTTTTAAAAAAGAAAATCTTTTTTGTGAACAAACGCCTAATTATCACTGAAAAATATCAATGCAAAAAGTTGCTGTCTGATACTAAGCTCCATTTTTCTCAGTTCACTAAATCTCGCATCTTATCTCAGAAGTTATGCTTTAGAGGTTCTTGGAAAATCTTCAACAGCGTATTTAACAAAGGTAGGTCTAACATTCCAAGCCTCATTCATGGGACTGAACTTATTACCTTTTCCAAGGTTAAAGCAGAACTATTTGCAAAGAACATTTTTTCTACTTTGAGTCTTGAATCTTATGGCCATACACTTCCTTCTATTTCATTTAATAGGTTAACTCATTTTTAGACATTCAAATCACTCCAGCTTCTGTTGCTAAAGTCATATCTCGATTAAACTCTTTTACGGCTTGCGGTTCAGACAACGTTCCTGTCATAGCCTTGCAAACTTGTTCTCCAGAATTCTCTCTAAACTATTTTATAAGTGCTTGACTGAGTCTTGTTTTCTTATCTGCTGGAAAACGGCATTTGTTTTTCCAATTTTGAAAAACTCTGGTAAACATTCTGATCCCTCCAACTATCGTCTGATCAGCCTTTTATCTGTTATCAACAAGGTCTTTGAGTCTTTTATTAACAAATTCCTTTCATCCTATCTTGAGTCAAATAACATACTGTCAGACATTCAATATGTTTTTTAATTATACTAATACTCTACGACTGATTTACTGACTGCTTTTACTGAAAGATTTTATCTTGTATTAAATGGAGACAGCGAGGCTGGGGATGATACTCTTGATATATCTGAAGTTTTTCATAAAGTTTAACATACTGGTCTCCTTCATAAGCTTGCTACACATGGTGTATCTTGAAAATTTTTTTAGATTATCAAATCGTTTTTTTCTAATCGCTTTATGTCATTGTCGAAGACCAGCACTCTTCTTCATGTCCACTAACTTCTGGGGTGCCTCAAGGTACTATCCTTGGTCCTGTTTTATTTTTTATCTACATCAATGATCTTTTTGACAACCTTAAATCTAGATTGGCTCTATTTGCTAACGACTCAACTTTGTACTCCTTTCTTGAAAAAAAGTCTTCTCTTTTCAATCGCTTAGAACAGGCAGTCAGTCTCAAATCTAATCTTACTTCTATTACATTTACTATTTTCTTTGAAAAACACAATATAGAGACTTTTCTTGTTTAATAACTTTTTTTCCTTATAAATAAAATAAGTAAAATTCTTAAAAAAAGAAAAAAATTAATTTAATATCATTAATTAGAATAATTAGGTAAAAAAGGATCCCATAATGGTACATAGATAACTCCAAATTGCATGGTCCGATTGTTATCAAATTTTGTAGGTAGCATTCATGCATGGGCGTTAACAAAATGTACCAAAATGGTAAAAAAAAAAAAAATATTTGTAAAAAATTTATGGTATTTTTACAAAGGTATTAAAAATTTATGGTAAAAAAATGGACTTGACTATTCATAACTTGCTTTGACCTTGCAGAAATATGCTGATTTTGGTACATTTTGTTGGCACTAGTGCATTGAACATACTGTGAAAATTTCAAGTCAAGACATGTAGAACTCGAGATATCTTTGTACCAAGTATGAAAATTTAAATACAGAGAAAATGATTGTTAAAAAATATGTTTTCAAATATAACTAACTTTTTGCTAAAAAAAACTAATGTACTCCAGATGTATAGAAATGTACTTGCTCTGTTTCCTTTTCATTATCAGAGAAACCTTTTTTTATAGCTCTAAGTTTTTTCTTCTTGCAAGTTTTTTTTTTATGCAATACTTATGTGTGTCGCATTCGATACGTTCATAGCTTTATTCATGTACTTTCCAGTATGAATGCCAAGTTTTACACTAAAAATTTGAGCTGTCCCTTTATTAAACTCTAAAACTGCAGATGATACGCCTATTTCAAGTATTGTTTTACTAACATAAGTTTGTTTTGGGCACTTTTTCCATATAGCATTGTTTATTGATTCGTTATTGTTTTGGGTTCCACCATGCAAACACTTAGTTAGCAAACTATCGGCACTTAAGTCAATAAATATTGGCTTAATCAAAGCACATATGACTACAGGTAGACTCAATTTTACTTTATATCGGTTTTGACCTGAACTTGGTCTGGTTGCCATATACACCAACTTGTATCACTCTTTGGACAAAACTTATGTGGCTAAACCGGGTCGGTTATGTCTGAATTATGGTAAAGAACAGCCCAAATACATTTTTTCATAACATAAATATTGCTACAGTTTTGTCGAATAGCCATTCCAT